TTTTTTTTTTTACAGATTAGGAAAAAGCTTCTCAAGCAAGCTGCAATGGAGAAGTCAGAAAAGGCCAAGAAGCTCAGAGAACAGAGGAAATATGGCAAAAAGGTCAGTTTTGAAACGCTTCCCAGATTCTCCCAGAATGATGTTTTTGGGTCTTGACAGACATGGTTTCAAATCTCTGGCTCTACAGGTTCAAACACAGGTGATTCAGAACAGACAGAAACAGAAGAAAGCAATGCTGTCAGCTGTTAAGAAGTATCAGAAAGGTACATTTTCACTTGTGCACTTCGATGTGTTTTACCAAGATTATGCAGTTAAAGTTTTGTATTCCTTATTTTTGGAGCAAATTTTGACTTGTCCTCATGTCCCACAGGAATGACAGATAAATTGGACTTCCTGGAAGGAGATCAAGATCAGAGACCGAAAGGATCAGAAGCAAAAAAGCAAATAAACAAAAAAGGGTAAGCAATGACGCTATATTTTCCACCAAATTCGATGGATCCCTTCAGCTCGAGGAGCCCTATCGAACGCCACCCTCTGCGCATCGGTAGCCCCCCGGGATCACTTGATCGGTTGGCGCCGGACCGCAGATTTAACCACCAGTAATTACACCATTTCAAGCATTTTATCTGCGTTATATGATCTGTAAAAAAAATGTCATATCGGCGGCATGTACGACGATACCGATATATTATATATATATATATAATATCGGCAAAACGATATATCGGTCGGGCTCTAATATTTACTGTGTATTTCAATAGCTTTGCAGAAGTTCAGGTGTTTTCAAATTAGATAAAGTTCTTTTTCGACAGGATGTGTTGTGAATGATTTAAATAACAATTCACAGTCTCTGATGGGCATTATTTTAGGTTTTCATTTTTTAGGGCGAAATATTCAGTTAAATGCTGCTGTTTGGTTATTGTGTCTACATTTATCTGTTCAAGTGTAATGCTGTCATCCTAAACAAGATGTTCAGGAGGTCATAGAAAGAAGTCTACTCGTAAATATGAAACTTTATCTGTATGTATATGATGATAGATTTCTAGCTCTGTTTGATTTGATATCATAATTTTGGCAGCTCCTGAAATGGGTCATATCATTAACATTACCTGCGCAGTTGAGTTAAATACACTCATTGAGGGATATGCGTTTATTGCATTTTATAAAGTTTGTCTTCTTTAATGCTGTTAAACTGAACAATAATTCGGTTAAGTGGTGTGAAGCTCACTGTTTGCTGAAACGTCCACAACATTAACAATAACATTGAGGAGCGTGCAGTAGGGCTGTCAAAAAAAATATTCTAATTTCGAA